TATCCATCCATCCATCTTTTTCTGCATGCGAAGAAATGAGATGGCCTAAACATCTTACCGAGTTTCCCTGGGAAGGCCTCCTCTATCGGTGAACCGGGACCAAGCATTTGACCAGGCTGAGCTTTACCGTATGCTTTTTGTACATCACCGAGAATCAAGAGTTCTTCATCCATATCTGGTTTATTCCTAAGGTGCTTGTGTAGGATCTGCAAAGTAAGAAAATTGGGTGTTTATTTAGTCCATATTTACTACCCTTAACTAAAGAGTTTCTGCCCGAAACTTGAATACTTGCGTGATTACTTATTTAAACATTTAAGAATAAAATTTCCTACTTCCCATAGCAACACTAAATAACCTTGCATTATATTGTCAAATAATATAACCAGGAGAGAGAGCTTTGACAGCAGAGGTACTTTGGCAGCCTGCTTGCACTGTGACACCCGACTATTGTAGTCTGGTGTGGTGGCCTTGTTTAGACGAGCTCCAGAGTCGGCAACGCAGAAGACGCCACCTTTTGGTATTCTCACAGGGGTTATTGTAAGGGTTGGCTTTGTAAATTCTATCATGATTGGCTAAAACATCGAAGACCAAGTAGCCTTACCACGTGGGGATAAGACTAGTAACTACATGGACTCTGTCACCTCTGTGAGGACCTGGCTTCTCTTTGCGTTAACGGACAACCACCTTTCATTGTTACAAGTGTTGTTTTGTCTTCCCAATCCCATCCACACCATTATCTGAAATCGCGCTTCAATTTTTTGAGCAAAATATCTTGTAGGATGAATCAGTGTTTTAAAACCCCCAAGTAAAATAAGGAAAAAAGTAACTGCTGTGACAGAATGTAAAAAATCTGCACTGTTTTTGCTTTGACAGAATTATATTTGTTTGTGATGCGATTAACCAAGTGAACTTTATAGCACTTACAGTTTTCGATCATCACCTTAAAGCTATGCCATTCCATTCGTGTTAATAGTTCGCCAGCTTTTCACTCCACCCTTCTGCACTTGAAAAATACAATTTATGCACCAGCTATCCTGAAGTAACCAAATTTGATCAAGTACTCATTTGGAAACACATGAATAGTCATAACTTTTTAGGTAAATGTCAAATTTGTGGGAACACAAAAACGATTCAATCAAAGACATTTACCGATGAATGGGAGAGAAGACAAGCTGCTTGATCCATGCCACCACCTTGGGTTCCGATGAGACGTTCGCAATTCGCACAGATGTCGGCTAACACCCTCTAGCGCGACAAAACATCACCAACAAAAAAAAGGTAACGATTTTGCGTCAGGAGATAAGCCAAAATTATTCATACACTGCACGCGACTTAGTCACGATTTCAGCATTTTGCGGATTTTTTGGCACACCTAACACAGGCGTAAACTAAGAATCCCTAAAAAATACACGCTGAACGGAGCATACTACTTAATAAGTTAAGGTAGGGGGTTTTCAAATTACATAAAATTTTATTACCTACTTAAAATGTCCAGTTCGACGCAAAATTTGTTAACCATTTAGGCCCTAGTAAGCTGATTCTTCTAAAGAAGGTGGTTTAAACATTTTAATCTTTTTAGGGTTATTTTACTAGACAACCAGGCAGAGGTATTCACTTTTGCTCGCCACGATGAATCTCTGCTACTTGGGAATGCATACGATGGTCTTCACGAATACATTATAAAGAATAATTAGATAAGGATAAGTTTTTTAGTACAGCAAGCTTTTTATGTGGTCTCCATCACAGTAGAGGGCTAACTACCCTACACATCCCGATACAATCTGAGAATGTACAGGATCCACTTTTTAAAAGTACACAAGTCTGGTAAGTCCATCTAACATAAGTCATTCTCCTATTCTTGCAAGACATTAGGGCATAAGATCACACATTATCATGATGGTGAGAGGAGTAGCCCTCTAGAATGTGAGGAGGGTAGATGCTGCCTACCTCTCCCCTCCTCATTCCTCTGATTTCCTTACTCCAAGTGATGGTTATCATCTTTTTCCTTCCAGCCTTAGACGATCGCATAACCATATGCAAAGTAGGATATAACGTTAGGAACTGTGAGGTGAAAAAAATAGAAGTGACCAAGGCTGACTATTCCTACTACTTTTCTACTCATCATATCTTCCCATTGTCCAATCATCTGTGCACAGTAAGTTAACGTAGTACGAGGGCCTAATTGCTGATTCAGAAGACAATTTATTACATCTACGTATTTCTTACTTGTGTCAGTGAGAATTACTTATTCACCGGCTTTGCTTAAAGGAGGCAGCTTACCGGTTCAACATACGTGTGTGTGGCACGCATTACGGCCATGGCTGAGGCGACTACAAGGGCACTACTGCTCGAGAGACCAGCATTCATTGGTAGATAAGCTGGATCATTTCCATTTCCAACCAGTAAGCATATTGAAGGAGGAGTCCACTTCTGAATAGAGGATATGAAACTATAGGAGTGGGGATTTATTAACTGAAACGATTAAATAAATACCATAATCAAATTGGTGGCTTTAAAAGCACGGCATAAATATTGTAAAACTTCTACGCAAACGATTTTTATATGTAGCACTTTGATTGTTCGGTTGATTGTTAATTTTGGTAATGGGACGCTCAGAGGTCCCACCATTTTGCCTCCGCTGGAGAGCTATGCCATCGGGCCGGAAGCCCTGGATGTTTCTCCTACAGCAGCGACCACGTTTTGATGGCTGACGTAGGAGGCTGACCACGGGAAGTCCTGCAAATGACGCTTAAGAGAAGAGAAGGGCTATGTTTGACGCTCGGTTTTGGTGACGGGGCACTTAAGTGCTTCACCATTGTCTTCACTATGCGGCCTATCCTTCGGGCCATGCTAGTAGCCCCCAATTTTATCTGCATGTCAACAACACATCTTCTGCCCCAGTGTTATGCCTTAAAAAAGTCTTGCAGGGCTGCATTATATTCCATCTTTTCTCTTATACGTAAGTCATTGACATGGTTGTCTTAGCCTCTCATCAGTCACCAATGTTTCCAACCCACCCACTGATAGCAGAAACACTTCGTCCGACTACAATTGTCGCTCAAATAGAATTTGGACTTCACTCCTTGTCGGTGTGCCATAAAAAGGATTGCCACTATAATAGCAGATATTAATGTCTTTCAAAGCCAGTCGGGGACTTCATGTTTCGCCAGCTTTCCACAGAAAGGAATGCCACTATGGAGGTAATAAGTGTCCCATTGCACACTAACAGTTGGCACCCATGTGGTGGGTCGGTCTAGACCACATTCAATTAATCAAGGCGACCGAAAACAAATAATTATGGGTGAGTGCAGGCAGCAGCATACGGTTTTCTGGGATTGAAGACAAAACTAGGACCCCTGGATATCAACCAGCTCCTTCAGAATAATTTGGCCAAAATGAAGCGTTGCCATGGCATTCTCAGATGCATAGGAATGAGTTTTTTGACTCCTGTTGCTAGGGTAGTCATTCCATGTGAGCAACACCTGAATTTAGACATCCAATGGTACAAAAGTCAAATTATTCTCCAGGAACATTTGAAATTTCAAATAAGTCAACCCTTGCTGGTTATCAAGACAGTTCTCCTCTTAAAGACAAGGGAATACTTTCGGCGTGTAGCTATTCAAAGTAAAATTTTGCCTGTAACTCACAGAAAAGTGCTGTTTTGCGTAGTCTCTGAATCCCCGAATGCCACACAAGGCGTAGTGATACCATTTAAGGGGACGTGGAGGACCATTGCTGGCGAAATTCAACACGCTCTCTATATCACCCTCGTATTCACTAAAAAAGGCGCTATTACTGAGTGCGAAACAAAAAGTCATTTTTGAAATAAAGACTTACTCAAGTGTTTTGTTTTCTGAGATAATTTTGATTCTCTCCTGGCCGATTTCTAGCTGGCTAGATACTGCAATGTAGACTGCTTGCCGTAGGGCCATTGGAAGCACAGCATAGCCGCTATAGTCGATATGTTCGCCTAAAGTGGGATAAAAATCCCTACGAGATTGGCCTCCTCAACCTTCCAATCATTCGGTCAATTCCAAGGCAGGTAAGACATGAACTTTCTAGAAGGTGTGGTTATGAGAGGGGAATATTTTGAAATATTAAAGAACAAATGCTAACTGCTGCAACATAAACGTTAGGGAGCAGCTGCTTCATAATCCTTTTTATCCACCTCATTTATTATCACGAAGTTAAAACCTTTGATCCATAAAGATACCTAAATAAGCGTTTTGACCTTTGAAAGAAGAAGCTAATCACTTGAAGCAATAAAATCTTTTCGTATCAAAGGATAAACTCATTGCCTGGCCCTGCGCGGTCCGTGAAAGTGTGCTTAAAATGACATCAAAAGTCTACAAGCATCAGTTTGCTGCTCTCCATTCCTTTCCTCACCAACTGACCGCGTGACCGTCTTTTGACGCGAAAAGTCCTCCAGCTTTCATTACTTCGTCCCTACGATTGCCTTCTCTTGTGCTTTTGTGATGCACAGACTGGTTCTCTTGCTAAAGGATAAAAGGCTACATGAAGGTGCTCAAGAATGGCGAATATGCCAACGTTGCTCTCACAGGACATGGTGAGGCAGGACCACATGGCTCATGTCGCAGACCTTAGAGAGAAGACGCTTCTCACTTGAGCACAGGGATGAGAGAGGGAAGGAGGTGCTGACTTTCCCTTTTCCTCGTGATCCCCTAGTGCTAATTCGTGTTCGTCTCATAGATCAAGCAGGGAGAAAACAAATGGATCTCTCAATATCTGCAAACGTAGTTACAACCGACACATGGCAAGCACGCGTCACACATTTGTGACATCGTATTAAGATGCGTCACATATATGTGACGCCGATACTCAGAATGCAAAAGTTGTGCAATTTTGTTTTATTAAGTAATTATCGGTAAATATTTACTTTTATCACATACCTATTAGGTTTACGCGACCTGGAGCCCTTACAACAAATTCACAGTGGTGTACTTCAGGACATCTAGCCACCAAGAGAGCACTCAGCCTTCTGGTTGTTTCATCCTCATCAAAACTGCCATATTTTGCCTACAAATAAATGATAACATCAAAACAGTCATGTAAAAAAAATTGTGGTTACTGTCAAATTACAAGAGAGGCAGTTGGGAAGGGAGGAGCAAATAAAATATGGAAGCAACCTTCAAATTTTAGGGCAATGCATCAAAATGAAAAGCAAGATTTGAGGGAATTTTTATCATTTTACTACACAGAAGGATGACAAAGTGAAACAACTTGCAGGCCAACAGCAAAAGCAGTAGAGAGCGCGTACCATCATTGCGACGACTTGTGTTACATGTGAGTCAGTCTGTTTATCTTGATCACAAACGATGTGACTCTTTGATGTGTTTATGTGTGAAAGCTGACATTGATTGGCCAATGGCGCTAAGGTACAGTCTAATCAAACTTCGACCTCGGCTTTGCACAAACCGGAAGCAAGTTTACCTTTACAAATCCGGTGATAGTCATGGAACAAGTGTTTTAGCAGCACATAATTGATTACAAGAAAACGTCATTAAAAACCGTCAAATAGGTCTGCTAATAGGGATGACACGAGGGAGGAATGTCATAAAAACCACGAAGCTGGAAAGAAGACCTTACACTATGGGTTATTTGATCCCGGTGTCAATGACGAATCCCCTTGATTGCGATAGATTCCGAATATTGTCGCACTTTTTGCAAGTTACATTATGGAAGTTCGAGAGTACTCACGGATGGTGGATGCCCTACAGCAAGCCCATTTGTTGGAGCCAATAATCCTTCCTTCAAGTGCTGTCCGACTTCCTATCTAGATTTCATTTTAACTGCAGGGAACCTAGAGGAGAGCGATTTACTTACACAATTCGTGCCCGCACTCTACCCTGTCTTCAGTAGCCTTTCTGGTGTCGGCTGCAGCAGTTTAAGCCATCCATTGAAGACGCCTTTCTTCAGCAGCCTTTAGGATGCAGCATTTGGCTACCAAAGTTGGTTTTTTCTTCTAACACAAGTGAAATCACCGCTGTCACTGGTAAAGCGTCTAAACTAGCCGCAGAGACGTATTGAGCTTTCTGTTAACAAACAGAAGGCTGGAAAGTTCTAGCAAAGGTGACACAAACACGACAATTATTTTATTCCAAGAAAAGTTTGATTTTCTCAATTTGCATTAAAGGGAGGTGTGAATAACCTTTCTCACAAGGCAGACAAGTTGCGAGCAGTTACAATTCTACCATTTTTATGATGGAAAGTATTATATCTGCGCAAAGCTAAAAACAGCCGCTCCGCTCCAGACAGATGTAAGCTGGTACACCCACTGTCTTCATAAGCAAGCAAGCAAGCAAGCTGGTCTCAGCCCTAGCTTACATTTATTTTCCAACAACCTATTCCATTTTGCATGTGTTTATCCGCATGTCTAATGCTAGTGCCAAGAATAGACGATAGACATCGCTAGGAGAAGTAGCAACAGAGGAGGACGGAAGAAAGTGAGGAAAACGAGGATAAATTATAGATGAAGTAGTATCTTTCCTTTTCCAATCCTTAGGGAAAAATCGTCTTAGCACCAAATTTTGATCTGCAGAAAATAATTCCAAAGTGCGGAGGTGATACTTCATCGCCTTCTTGAGAACCACCCATGACTGTTATAGCGTAACGTGTTCAGGAGTTTTCTATTCAATCTCCACTTTCATACTTCTGAACCGAGCAGACTGGTCTGAGGGGGACATCTTTTATTTGTAAAGTACAGAGAATCTAGGTTATGGAGGTCAATGGCTTCCCCTCGGTTAGGACGGGTGGTGTGTACTGACCGCCACTAGCCTAAAAGGTGCATTCATACATTCACAATTATTTGAAATTTTACTTTTTACTTTCATAGCTCACAATTTCCGATTTTTGGGTTTCATGTTGAGGATTTAAACGGCCATGCTGTTTTATTCCATTTTGGAGTATGCAACCCGCATTTTAAAAGTCAACTTTTTTTACGGAGGGTAAAAAGCAGCCATAAATGCGCATCATTAGGCACATCAAAAGGCAAGATACCATGGTAGCGTAGAAATCTCAAAATTTAGGCACATTTCTAACCGACAGAGCACTTTACTCTCCCTTGATCTCCTCATGCCTCCGGTCAGCCAGCTCACCCCTCTCACGAAGAGTAAAAGCGTCAGTAGATCCTATCTTTTATTTTTTATAAGTAATTTGATGAAGATTAGTAGTTTGCCTTTTTTTAAAATAGGCGTTACCTCGCAGGATTCGTAAAATAGTGGCTTTAAGCCTAGAAATATTTATTTTGAATGTATTTTGTGTTATTGACCTAGAAGCTCAACATCGTTACACCAACCTGGATGGATCAGCAAGTGTAGGCCTGTCAAAATATCGCCAATTCTTTTACCTCAGACGTTGAATATTATAATTTAAAAGCCATTCCAAAATTTAGAAAATAAAAATGTGTACATAAATTGAGGAAAGGGGATTTTTAGGGAAATCCACCGTTCCCTATTTTTCTTTGTAATTCAGTAGAGCCATTATTTATGAAGCAATGAATTGCAGAAACAGTAGGCTAGTAAATTTATGACGTAATCAGTGGCTAACACAATAAAGGTACTTGTAAATTTCTCCCTAATTTAAAAAAAGATTTGACGAAACCTGCAACTTCTGAATTGCGTTGATAAGGACAAAAAACGGTCGGGTAAATCAAATGGCCGGACATCGGTACATCTACGCGGCAGCATTTGACCGTTACCCAAAAAAGGAAACTGTGCAATTTGGTAAAATTGCTGTACGTTTATAAATCACTTAACATCTTGCCATGTTTCACAGGGGAAAAAGTAAAGCAATTTATACATACAAATTTATGATTACTCGTGACAGCTTTGAACATGCGTGTAGCACTCCGGGACTTTCCTGAAGACGAAAGAAGACTTAATACTGACCCTGAGGTCATACCGCTTAGCAGAAGTACAAAAGCAGAGCCTCAAGTGCCAGCGAAACGAAAATGCGAAGTATTACGTGGACCCCTCTCCTCTTTGACGAGTCGTCTTCGGTTCGCCGCTGAGACCACTCTGAAGACAAAAGAAGGCACAATACTATGGCATAATATTTATATTACTGTTGCAGTGACGGGTTAAGTGAACCATTGCATGGCCGGAAGGTCGTACCGCCTAGCGGAAGTGCAGAGGCGGAGCCTCAGATGTCTTAGAAATCAAAACGATGAGGTGAACAAATAACCAAAGCATTACATATCTGTGACTCAAAACAATTTTATTCATAGTTTAGAGAAAGGAGTAACGTGTACTCTACGGTGCGCTACTAACCAATTTGTATGCTGCCCTTCCTTCTCAATTTGTCTCCAAACTTCATTTACACTCCTAATTGACTGACTTACTATAGATAAGTGGGACAGATATCTCCTCTACTTTTTTATTTTGCACTTTTTAGGACTGTTTACATGTTTTCCTAAAAAAAACTGGAGAAGGTTAGTTTTGTTTCATTGACCAATTAAATGCCAGAAGAGACAATACAGAATACACAGTCAATTAAGGCTACTACTTAAACGCAGTTCAAATCCACATGCATAAAGTAACTCCAAGATGATTAGGGAAGGTGAGAGGATAAAATAACACTTGCGTTGCGTCGCCACTAACTACGCATATGCGCCTTGACGTACTCGTTCCACTTCGACAAGGTAGTAAAAGAACTAAAATTTATGACTAGAGGCCTATTCTCGGTTAAGCAGGTATATGAAATCAGACCTTTGTAAAATTAGCCATATTTACTACTTCGGTACTTGTTTTGGGAACAGAACATGTGTTCTAAATGCGGAGGTCCTTAAATAAGACATCACGAATGTATCCGTTACCTCGGGTAGACTGTTTCTGTATCCAAATTAGCCTCTAGTCACCACCATTAATAGGAAATGTGATCACATAATTTTTCAGTTATTCGTTTGGCCTACAAGTTCAAATGCAACTCATGCAATGACCTTTTAATTTTCTAAATCATTTTTTGCCTTGGCTAAAATGCCTGAACCTATTCCCAATGGAGCGCAGTGATTGCAGACCGCCTACTAGCAAATCATATCTGCAAGGTTAATCAAACCCCACATAAAAACTGATGGAGATTCGCACAATCGCTTTCTTCAGCAAATACTGCTAAATCAACTTAAAGTGTTTCTCATTAATTTTCATGAGAGTTTGGTTGATTTAGACCCTAGATTGAGACCTTCTAAGTAGTATAAAACGCACACACTCGTATGCGAGCTTGAGACTCAAAAATTCGTGTTGGGGGTACATTACAGGGGACCTGTCGGGGCATCCTCATCTTGGTTCTTGCCCTCGTGTTCTCCTGCGGTCAAAAAAGTCATGTCCATGTCTCAATAGTGGTGCAGTAACAATCCAAATTTTGCAGTGATGAGGACATTTGTCCACAAAGTAAAGGGGCACAAAAGGCACTTCACGACCATTTCGAAATTATCTTCTCCGCCTAGGGATGCACTGAGGTGGACTGATGAAAAAGAGCTTTTACATAACCATCTAATGTGATATTTTTGTACCTTGAGACTTATATGAAGTCGATAGAAGACATAAAACCTGAGCAGAATATTGTTGGCATACGGTAGGGTTTGGGGCTATTTTCATGGTTTGGGGGTCAGCTCATCTGACGAAGGTACAATGGCGGTGAGTAAAACCAACAACCAAATATCTAGCTCTTAGCAAGTGGCCAAGCATGAATTCTGGCTGCAATTAAACCAAACTAAAAAAATCTAAAATAATTTTACTCTTCAATAAATTTGCAAACAAATCTGTGCGAGGAAGAATGAAAAGAAAAAGAGATGTTTAGTAACGCAACTAGCCAATGGCAGTGATAAGCAAAGCGACCAATCAAAATTTAATTCCCCTTTGCAGATGATGCAGAAAATTGTGCAGTAACACTGACGTGGGCACACTTTTTCCGTAGCAATGGATTACAACATATCCTTATCCACATCTCTCATGCCCAACTCTTCCCAATATATAAATCTCTCTGTTCGACCTGCAATCTACTACAGCCTTCCCTATCGCCTTCTTGGTACAATCGCTGCAACCCTCATTCTCATAGTCGGTCTGTCGGGCAACTTACTTGTGATCACGGTGATTACGTGGTCCTCGAAGATGCGTAGTCCAACAAACTGCTACCTCGTATCACTTTCCTTCAGTGATATGCTCTTTCTCCTGCATGCTACAGCTCCATTTATCTGGGAGCTCTATGTCATGATCGGACAGTGGACACTGGGCACTCACGCCTGTCGAATTATAGTTGCAATGCAATACCTCTGTGTAGACACTTCTGCTCTTTCCATGGCGGCATTTTCTGTGGAGCGTTGGGTAGCTATCTGTCACCCAATGCGCGCTCAAACCCTCTGCACCGTGAACCGAGCACTCAAAATCATCGCTGGCATTTGGATCTTCTGTGCTGCCTATAATTGCGTCTGGCTCTTTACTCTGGACACGCAAGTAGTTGAATATGTCTATGGCACCTATCGAACCTGCACCTATAAGTTTTCGCGAATGCGATACTCCACAGTGTACCTCTTGGATTTTATCCTCTTCTACACTCTCCCTCTAGGCCTGATATTTGTCATGTATACGCAGATCACTCTACGACTCTTCAAATTTCACAAATCCATCTGTCTAAACCTGAATAAAGGGAAATCAGAAAGCAACAGAAATGCTGTCAGAGGTGCAGGACGTGGTAGTCCCGCTCTCTGCAATTTAAATTCATTGGAACAGGCGAGACAGGCTGCTTTCTACCGAAATGGCGGTCGTCAAGTTCGTTCACGAAAACAGGTATGTGAACCAGTTGTCGGCCCTCTAAATAATTGTCCAAAAGGGCAAATTTCCCTGGGGTGAGACAGCAAAGTTAATTGGAGCAAATTTAGGGCGGATACTTCGACAATGCACTTAAACACACTTTGAAGTCGAAAGGTAAAAAGCCTCTGAGATTTTAGATAAGAAGGCAAATGTCTGTAAAAAGCCTGTATTTAAAAAATATAATAGTCATTAAAATATTTTCCAGCACAATTTATCGTGCCTTTTCCTACTGAATGGATAATTGCTAATTTCAGGTTTTCCTCCTGAGGCTGCTAGAACACCATCCCAGTCCTTTCTAAAACGCATTTAGCATAGTAGGAGTTCCCTCGCTTTTTAAATCCTGGCAAACTTGATTTTTTGAGCTTTTATGCGGTCAGTATAACCTTCATGCAAATTTCCTAACTAAAAATACTCCGTCGGCAGGGGCGGACTGGTGTGTTGAAGTAGGTCCATCACTCAATCAAAAAAGAATGCACTCTTCAAGCTATTCAGGCGATTAACAATGCCTCATTTGCATGATAAATGGAATTTATATTTTATCTAGTAGGGTAAACTTTGTTTCTCACCATTGTAACAAGAATTACTTCCGTCATGATGGGAGCGGCATTGATCACTCTGCAAAACGGTTTGTTTTGCTACGTAACCTGTCCAGATGACGGAAATATAGAGCAGCGCTTACTGAACTGAAACGCCTATCCAAACAGGATTGCTACTTTATACAGATGCTTAAAATTTGTTTTAAATTTTTCTAACAGGTGGTTAAAATGTTGATGGCAGTAGTCATACTCTTCGCTGTCTTTTGGTTTCCATACCGAACCCTGGTGGTGTATAACAGCTTTGTCACGCCAAAACGCACCGATTACTGGTTGATACTCTTCGTCAAGACGATGGCGTATCTCAATTCCACTGTCAACCCGATACTCTACAACGCAATGTCCAAGAAGTTCCGTCGTGCTTTCCGCCTGTTAATTACACAGAGTAAGGACATAATTTATTTAAAGCTTTCAAATTTGCCCAAACAAATAAGGCGAATAGAGGAACTCATTAGTCGGTGGAAGTCAATGAGCCTAGGTCCCCTCTGAATGGGTTATAAGATGGAGCGTATTTTTAATGATTGCGTCGAATATAAAAAGGTATTCAATGCTTAAAAAAAACATTAATGAGGTCCTACAGTGATTTCCAAGTCAAGAATGTAGTTGTATGCAGGCGTCTTGGTCTAGGTCCTCAGATTTTGACAAAATTAAGTTTATCACTCTATCTTTAAGCTTCCTGCTTCGGACGACAAAGTAAGATGAACAGTGTGCTGGGCAGTCGACGCACCGAGTGCATTAGATCGCGAGATTACTTTCGTCACGTTCAACAACAGAGACACCAGCTTTCGAGGACTGTCGCCAACTTAACTCAGGCAAATGAGTCACAAGCTCTTGCCTCCAACAACAAAAATGAAGCCCTGGCGGAGGGATGATGTCTGTCAGATAACGAAACTGACACCCGGTTATTGTAAAAAATATGATGTAAATAACAAGAATCTGTCAAAGCTTAACGTGTTCTTTCGTCTGAGGTGATTTTACAGTGAAGGAGAGCTTCTTTCTTAGGAAAAATCCAGGCAACCCTCTCTTTTCTGCCCACCTATACATTCGTAATTGTTCTCAAAAGACAATTAAGGGTTACCTTGCACCATTAGTTAAATCTCCTTCAAATTTTACATAGCAAGTAAAAGAGAGGGTATAAGGAAGTACCTCCACTCCTTTACGGCTAGACGGGACCAAGATAGAGGTGGTCGAATGGGAACGAAGTATAAACTAAGCTATAAGGAGAGACAGACGCAAATCCGTATTCTCACAAAGCTATTTTAAATTCCGTCCTTTATTAAGTGACTGTGCTTTTTGACCAGACTTCTTACGACTTGTGATGGGCATGCGTGATGGTCTGCAGATTCTCCCCTTCCTAATGCAGTTCCCATACCGGACGGAACTCCGCATCCAGTAGTGTTGCCGATTGCACGCGAATTCGATGTCTGTTGCGGAGGTTTGACAAAAGGGAGTGATAGGGACGGCACTCAAATAAAAGAGCCAGGTGGAGAGCCTATGCAAGACGTTAATTGTATCACTCTTGATTTCGCAACATAACTCCGGGGCTCCGATATTGGTCCTGCGAAAGGCAGCCTGTCCTCTAAGGAGACATTAATAGCCCAAGCCCTAATATACTTCGCCAATAAATATTCTGACCTAGCATCACTTCTCCTTTTGTCTCGGGGCAAGACGAAGTGTTCATGAGCAGAAGAATGAGCATGTAATATCACCTGTCAGAGATAAGTGAATGGAAGTTTTTATGACCAGCCATCTATTATCATCCTTTTGACGAAATTAACTGGTTAGGGGCTGTTGTTTAAACGAACCACGTTAAGACTTGCTTTATGCATTAACTTAACAACTTAATGTTAGTCTTTGGGATTTGTACTTTTGATTTGGCATAAGTAATGCCTTTAGGCCTCCCTGTTCATAATTAATGGACCTCTCAAGGCATGACCAAATACTACCTCAGAGAAGATCAGCCGCGCGCCACAGATGGAAATGACAAGCTAACCCAGTTTAAAAAGGTGGATACAAGGACTTCTTTAGTCCACTTGTATGCCGTAACTTTACAGAAGTAAGGCATCTACTGTGGGTGCTAACGTTACCATCAGCAGACGTGGATGAGTTCAACCTTTTATTGTGTGTCTATGATACCTCCAGGAAGGGATGTGGAGTGTGCAAACAAATGCAGTCACTTTCAAACCTTCATTGGCTGGTGGTAGCCCTAGCAAACACCTGGGGAGAGGTGACGTGATAACATAGCCGTAAGAAAGAGGAGATGTCAGCTAAAGCTCCATAGAGCTACATTATGTATTCTGAACTTTGTACATGCTTTCCAATGAAGAGCCGCAAGCCACTATGGAGCATCATCAGTCTTGAGCTGTGCCTAATCAGTAAGCCACCTTCTCTAATACTGTTTGCATACAGGGGAGGCATAAGGAAGTAAAAGTCCAAATCTTGATCTAATTGACGAGAAGCATAACCGACGCTGGGGTCAAACGTCTCCTCAGCTGTATTAAAATTTTGAAAATGTCTAGCCCAACTTGTTGGTATATATTTGACAGAACTACCCAAGTTACTGTGACACACTCACTAGCCACTTCACACTTCTAAAACATGCATTACTTCGTCTCAACAGGCACGTGCATGCTTCATGTCTGCGTACGTGAGTGTGGTGCCCTCAACTGTCGTCACGTACGCAGACACGAAATGCTTTTTGTACATCACCGAGAATCAAGAGTTCTTCATCCATATCTGGTTTATTCCTAAGGTGCTTGTGTAGGATCTGCAAAGTAAGAAAATTGGGTGTTTATTTAGTCCATATTTACTACCCTTAACTAAAGAGTTTCTGCCCGAAACTTGAATACTTGCGTGATTACTTATTTAAACATTTAAGAATAAAATTTCCTACTTCCCATAGCAACACTAAATAACCTTGCATTATATTGTCAAATAATATAACCAGGAGAGAGAGCTTTGACAGCAGAGGTACTTTGGCAGCCTGCTTGCACTGTGACACCCGACTATTGTAGTCTGGTGTGGTGGCCTTGTTTAGACGAGCTCCAGAGTCGGCAACGCAGAAGACGCCACCTTTTGGTATTCTCACAGGGGTTATTGTAAGGGTTGGCTTTGTAAATTCTATCATGATTGGCTAAAACATCGAAGACCAAGTAGCCTTACCACGTGGGGATAAGACTAGTAACTACATGGACTCTGTCACCTCTGTGAGGACCTGGCTTCTCTTTGCGTTAACGGACAACCACCTTTCATTGTTACAAGTGTTGTTTTGTCTTCCCAATCCCATCCACACCATTATCTGAAATCGCGCTTCAATTTTTTGAGCAAAATATCTTGTAGGATGAATCAGTGTTTTAAAACCCCCAAGTAAAATAAGGAAAAAAGTAACTGCTGTGACAGAATGTAAAAAATCTGCACTGTTTTTGCTTTGACAGAATTATATTTGTTTGTGATGCGATTAACCAAGTGAACTTTATAGCACTTACAGTTTTCGATCATCACCTTAAAGCTATGCCATTCCATTCGTGTTAATAGTTCGCCAGCTTTTCACTCCACCCTTCTGCACTTGAAAAATACAATTTATGCACCAGCTATCCTGAAGTAACCAAATTTGATCAAGTACTCATTTGGAAACACATGAATAGTCATAACTTTTTAGGTAAATGTCAAATTTGTGGGAACACAAAAACGATTCAATCAAAGACATTTACCGATGAATGGGAGAGAAGACAAGCTGCTTGATCCATGCCACCACCTTGGGTTCCGATGAGACGTTCGCAATTCGCACAGATGTCGGCTAACACCCTCTAGCGCGACAAAACATCACCAACAAAAAAAAGGTAACGATTTTGCGTCAGGAGATAAGCCAAAATTATTCATACACTGCACGCGACTTAGTCACGATTTCAGCATTTTGCGGATTTTTTGGCACACCTAACACAGGCGTAAACTAAGAATCCCTAAAAAATACACGCTGAACGGAGCATACTACTTAATAAGTTAAGGTAGGGGGTTTTCAAATTACATAAAATTTTATTACCTACTTAAAATGTCCAGTTCGACGCAAAATTTGTTAACCATTTAGGCCCTAGTAAGCTGATTCTTCTAAAGAAGGTGGTTTAAACATTTTAATCTTTTTAGGGTTATTTTACTAGACAACCAGGCAGAGGTATTCACTTTTGCTCGCCACGATGAATCTCTGCTACTTGGGAATGCATACGATGGTCTTCACGAATACATTATAAAGAATAATTAGATAAGGATAAGTTTTTTAGTACAGCAAGCTTTTTATGTGGTCTCCATCACAGTAGAGGGCTAACTACCCTACACATCCCGATACAATCTGAGAATGTACAGGATCCACTTTTTAAAAGTACACAAGTCTGGTAAGTCCATCTAACATAAGTCATTCTCCTATTCTTGCAAGACATTAGGGCATAAGATCACACATTATCATGATGGTGAGAGGAGTAGCCCTCTAGAATGTGAGGAGGGTAGATGCTGCCTACCTCTCCCCTCCTCATTCCTCTGATTTCCTTACTCCAAGTGATGGTTATCATCTTTTTCCTTCCAGCCTTAGACGATCGCATAACCATATGCAAAGTAGGATATAACGTTAGGAACTGTGAGGTGAAAAAAATAGAAGTGACCAAGGCTGACTATTCCTACTACTTTTCTACTCATCATATCTTCCCATTGTCCAATCATCTGTGCACAGTAAGTTAACGTAGTACGAGGGCCTAATTGCTGATTCAGAAGACAATTTATTACATCTACGTATTTCTTACTTGTGTCAGTGAGAATTACTTATTCACCGGCTTTGCTTAAAGGAGGCAGCTTACCGGTTCAACATACGTGTGTGTGGCACGCATTACGGCCATGGCTGAGGCGACTACAAGGGCACTACTGCTCGAGAGACCAGCATTCATTGGTAGATAAGCTGGATCATTTCCATTTCCAACCAGTAAGCATATTGAAGGAGGAGTCCACTTCTGAATAGAGGATATGAAACTATAGGAGTGGGGATTTATTAACTGAAACGATTAAATAAATACCATAATCAAATTGGTGGCTTTAAAAGCACGGCATAAATATTGTAAAACTTCTACGCAAACGATTTTTATATGTAGCACTTTGATTGTTCGGTTGATTGTTAATTTTGGTAATGGGACGCTCAGAGGTCCCACCATTTTGCCTCCGCTGGAGAGCTATGCCATCGGGCCGGAAGCCCTGGATGTTTCTCCTACAGCAGCGACCACGTTTTGATGGCTGACGTAGGAGGCTGACCACGGGAAGTCCTGCAAATGACGCTTAAGAGAAGAGAAGGGCTATGTTTGACGCTCGGTTTTGGTGACGGGGCACTTAAGTGCTTCACCATTGTCTTCACTATGCGGCCTATCCTTCGGGCCATGCTAGTAGCCCCCAATTTTATCTGCATGTCAACAACACATCTTCTGCCCCAGTGTTATGCCTTAAAAAAGTCTTGCAGGGCTGCATTATATTCCATCTTTTCTCTTATACGTAAGTCATTGACATGGTTGTCTTAGCCTCTCATCAGTCACCAATGTTTCCAACCCACCCACTGATAGCAGAAACACTTCGTCCGACTACAATTGTCGCTCAAATAGAATTTGGACTTCACTCCTTGTCGGTGTGCCATAAAAAGGATTGCCACTATAATAGCAGATATTAATGTCTTTCAAAGCCAGTCGGGGACTTCATGTTTCGCCAGCTTTCCACAGAAAGGAATGCCACTATGGAGGTAATAAGTGTCCCATTGCACACTAACAGTTGGCACCCATGTGGTGGGTCGGTCTAGACCACATTCAATTAATCAAGGCGACCGAAAACAAATAATTATGGGTGAGTGCAGGCAGCAGCATACGGTTTTCTGGGATTGAAGACAAAACTAGGACCCCTGGATATCAACCAGCTCCTTCAGAATAATTTGGCCAAAATGAAGCGTTGCCATGGCATTCTCAGATGCATAGGAATGAGTTTTTTGACTCCTGTTGCTAGGGTAGTCATTCCATGTGAGCAACACCTGAATTTAGACATCCAATGGTACAAAAGTCAAATTATTCTCCAGGAACATTTGAAATTTCAAATAAGTCAACCCTTGCTGGTTATCAAGACAGTTCTCCTCTTAAAGACAAGGGAATACTTTCGGCGTGTAGCTATTCAAAGTAAAATTTTGCCTGTAACTCACAGAAAAGTGCTGTTTTGCGTAGTCTCTGAATCCCCGAATGCCACACAAGGCGTAGTGATACCATTTAAGGGGACGTGGAGGACCATTGCTGGCGAAATTCAACACGCTCTCTATATCACCCTCGTATTCACTAAAAAAGGCGCTATTACTGAGTGCGAAACAAAAAGTCATTTTTGAAATAAAGACTTACTCAAGTGTTTTGTTTTCTGAGATAATTTTGATTCTCTCCTGGCCGATTTCTAGCTGGCTAGATACTGCAATGTAGACTGCTTGCCGTAGGGCCATTGGAAGCACAGCATAGCCGCTATAGTCGATATGTTCGCCTAAAGTGGGATAAAAATCCCTACGAGATTGGCCTCCTCAACCTTCCAATCATTCGGTCAATTCCAAGGCAGGTAAGACATGAACTTTCTAGAAGGTGTGGTTATGAGAGGGGAATATTTTGAAATATTAAAGAACAAATGCTAACTGCTGCAACATAAACGTTAGGGAGCAGCTGCTTCATAATCCTTTTTATCCACCTCATTTATTATCACGAAGTTAAAACCTTTGATCCATAAAGATACCTAAATAAGCGTTTTGACCTTTGAAAGAAGAAGCTAATCACTTGAAGCAATAAAATCTTTTCGTATCAAAGGATAAACTCATTGCCTGGCCCTGCGCGGTCCGTGAAAGTGTGCTTAAAATGACATCAAAAGTCTACAAGCATCAGTTTGCTGCTCTCCATTCCTTTCCTCACCAACTGACCGCGTGACCGTCTTTTGACGCGAAAAGTCCTCCAGCTTTCATTACTTCGTCCCTACGATTGCCTTCTCTTGTGCTTTTGTGATGCACAGACTGGTTCTCTTGCTAAAGGATAAAAGGCTACATGAAGGTGCTCAAGAATGGCGAATATGCCAACGTTGCTCTCACAGGACATGGTGAGGCAGGACCACATGGCTCATGTCGCAGACCTTAGAGAGAAGACGCTTCTCACTTGAGCACAGGGATGAGAGAGGGAAGGAGGTGCTGACTTTCCCTTTTCCTCGTGATCCCCTAGTGCTAATTCGTGTTCGTCTCATAGATCAAGCAGGGAGAAAACAAATGGATCTCTCAATATCTGCAAACGTAGTTACAACCGACACATGGCAAGCACGCGTCACACATTTGTGACATCGTATTAAGATGCGTCACATATATGTGACGCCGATACTCAGAATGCAAAAGTTGTGCAATTTTGTTTTATTAAGTAATTATCGGTAAATATTTACTTTTATCACATACCTATTAGGTTTACGCGACCTGGAGCCCTTACAACAAATTCACAGTGGTGTACTTCAGGACATCTAGCCACCAAGAGAGCACTCAGCCTTCTGGTTGTTTCATCCTCATCAAAACTGCCATATTTTGCCTACAAATAAATGATAACATCAAAACAGTCATGTAAAAAAAATTGTGGTTACTGTCAAATTACAAGAGAGGCAGTTGGGAAGGGAGGAGCAAATAAAATATGGAAGCAACCTTCAAATTTTAGGGCAATGCATCAAAATGAAAAGCAAGATTTGAGGGAATTTTTATCATTTTACTACACAGAAGGATGACAAAGTGAAACAACTTGCAGGCCAACAGCAAAAGCAGTAGAGAGCGCGTACCATCATTGCGACGACTTGTGTTACATGTGAGTCAGTCTGTTTATCTTGATCACAAACGATGTGACTCTTTGATGTGTTTATGTGTGAAAGCTGACATTGATTGGCCAATGGCGCTAAGGTACAGTCTAATCAAACTTCGACCTCGGCTTTGCACAAACCGGAAGCAAGTTTACCTTTACAAATCCGGTGATAGTCATGGAACAAGTGTTTTAGCAGCACATAATTGATTACAAGAAAACGTCATTAAAAACCGTCAAATAGGTCTGCTAATAGGGATGACACGAGGGAGGAATGTCATAAAAACCACGAAGCTGGAAAGAAGACCTTACACTATGGGTTATTTGATCCCGGTGTCAATGACGAATCCCCTTGATTGCGATAGATTCCGAATATTGTCGCACTTTTTGCAAGTTACATTATGGAAGTTCGAGAGTACTCACGGATGGTGGATGCCCTACAGCAAGCCCATTTGTTGGAGCCAATAATCCTTCCTTCAAGTGCTGTCCGACTTCCTATCTAGATTTCATTTTAACTGCAGGGAACCTAGAGGAGAGCGATTTACTTACACAATTCGTGCCCGCACTCTACCCTGTCTTCAGTAGCCTTTCTGGTGTCGGCTGCAGCAGTTTAAGCCATCCATTGAAGACGCCTTTCTTCAGCAGCCTTTAGGATGCAGCATTTGGCTACCAAAGTTGGTTTTTTCTTCTAACACAAGTGAAATCACCGCTGTCACTGGTAAAGCGTCTAAACTAGCCGCAGAGACGTATTGAGCTTTCTGTTAACAAACAGAAGGCTGGAAAGTTCTAGCAAAGGTGACACAAACACGACAATTATTTTATTCCAAGAAAAGTTTGATTTTCTCAATTTGCATTAAAGGGAGGTGTGAATAACCTTTCTCACAAGGCAGACAAGTTGCGAGCAGTTACAATTCTACCATTTTTATGATGGAAAGTATTATATCTGCGCAAAGCTAAAAACAGCCGCTCCGCTCCAGACAGATGTAAGCTGGTACACCCACTGTCTTCATAAGCAAGCAAGCAAGCAAGCTGGTCTCAGCCCTAGCTTACATTTATTTTCCAACAACCTATTCCATTTTGCATGTGTTTATCCGCATGTCTAATGCTAGTGCCAAGAATAGACGATAGACATCGCTAGGAGAAGTAGCAACAGAGGAGGACGGAAGAAAGTGAGGAAAACGAGGATAAATTATAGATGAAGTAGTATCTTTCCTTTTCCAATCCTTAGGGAAAAATCGTCTTAGCACCAAATTTTGATCTGCAGAAAATAATTCCAAAGTGCGGAGGTGATACTTCATCGCCTTCTTGAGAACCACCCATGACTGTTATAGCGTAACGTGTTCAGGAGTTTTCTATTCAATCTCCACTTTCATACTTCTGAACCGAGCAGACTGGTCTGAGGGGGACATCTTTTATTTGTAAAGTACAGAGAATCTAGGTTATGGAGGTCAATGGCTTCCCCTCGGTTAGGACGGGTGGTGTGTACTGACCGCCACTAGCCTAAAAGGTGCATTCATACATTCACAATTATTTGAAATTTTACTTTTTACTTTCATAGCTCACAATTTCCGATTTTTGGGTTTCATGTTGAGGATTTAAACGGCCATGCTGTTTTATTCCATTTTGGAGTATGCAACCCGCATTTTAAAAGTCAACTTTTTTTACGGAGGGTAAAAAGCAGCCATAAATGCGCATCATTAGGCACATCAAAAGGCAAGATACCATGGTAGCGTAGAAATCTCAAAATTTAGGCACATTTCTAACCGACAGAGCACTTTACTCTCCCTTGATCTCCTCATGCCTCCGGTCAGCCAGCTCACCCCTCTCACGAAGAGTAAAAGCGTCAGTAGATCCTATCTTTTATTTTTTATAAGTAATTTGATGAAGATTAGTAGTTTGCCTTTTTTTAAAATAGGCGTTACCTCGCAGGATTCGTAAAATAGTGGCTTTAAGCCTAGAAATATTTATTTTGAATGTATTTTGTGTTATTGACCTAGAAGCTCAACATCGTTACACCAACCTGGATGGATCAGCAAGTGTAGGCCTGTCAAAATATCGCCAATTCTTTTACCTCAGACGTTGAATATTATAATTTAAAAGCCATTCCAAAATTTAGAAAATAAAAATGTGTACATAAATTGAGGAAAGGGGATTTTTAGGGAAATCCACCGTTCCCTATTTTTCTTTGTAATTCAGTAGAGCCATTATTTATGAAGCAATGAATTGCAGAAACAGTAGGCTAGTAAATTTATGACGTAATCAGTGGCTAACACAATAAAGGTACTTGTAAATTTCTCCCTAATTTAAAAAAAGATTTGACGAAACCTGCAACTTCTGAATTGCGTTGATAAGGACAAAAAACGGTCGGGTAAATCAAATGGCCGGACATCGGTACATCTACGCGGCAGCATTTGACCGTTACCCAAAAAAGGAAACTGTGCAATTTGGTAAAATTGCTGTACGTTTATAAATCACTTAACATCTTGCCATGTTTCACAGGGGAAAAAGTAAAGCAATTTATACATACAAATTTATGATTACTCGTGACAGCTTTGAACATGCGTGTAGCACTCCGGGACTTTCCTGAAGACGAAAGAAGACTTAATACTGACCCTGAGGTCATACCGCTTAGCAGAAGTACAAAAGCAGAGCCTCAAGTGCCAGCGAAACGAAAATGCGAAGTATTACGTGGACCCCTCTCCTCTTTGACGAGTCGTCTTCGGTTCGCCGCTGAGACCACTCTGAAGACAAAAGAAGGCACAATACTATGGCATAATATTTATATTACTGTTGCAGTGACGGGTTAAGTGAACCATTGCATGGCCGGAAGGTCGTACCGCCTAGCGGAAGTGCAGAGGCGGAGCCTCAGATGTCTTAGAAATCAAAACGATGAGGTGAACAAATAACCAAAGCATTACATATCTGTGACTCAAAACAATTTTATTCATAGTTTAGAGAAAGGAGTAACGTGTACTCTACGGTGCGCTACTAACCAATTTGTATGCTGCCCTTCCTTCTCAATTTGTCTCCAAACTTCATTTACACTCCTAATTGACTGACTTACTATAGATAAGTGGGACAGATATCTCCTCTACTTTTTTATTTTGCACTTTTTAGGACTGTTTACATGTTTTCCTAAAAAAAACTGGAGAAGGTTAGTTTTGTTTCATTGACCAATTAAATGCCAGAAGAGACAATACAGAATACACAGTCAATTAAGGCTACTACTTAAACGCAGTTCAAATCCACATGCATAAAGTAACTCCAAGATGATTAGGGAAGGTGAGAGGATAAAATAACACTTGCGTTGCGTCGCCACTAACTACGCATATGCGCCTTGACGTACTCGTTCCACTTCGACAAGGTAGTAAAAGAACTAAAATTTATGACTAGAGGCCTATTCTCGGTTAAGCAGGTATATGAAATCAGACCTTTGTAAAATTAGCCATATTTACTACTTCGGTACTTGTTTTGGGAACAGAACATGTGTTCTAAATGCGGAGGTCCTTAAATAAGACATCACGAATGTATCCGTTACCTCGGGTAGACTGTTTCTGTATCCAAATTAGCCTCTAGTCACCACCATTAATAGGAAATGTGATCACATAATTTTTCAGTTATTCGTTTGGCCTACAAG